GCAGGGTCCCGGCGCGCACTCGTGCAGCCCCGCGCGTGTGCGCGTCTTGCACCGCCAAGGGACCAGGCAAGTAGAAACGATCGACCTCAAAAGAAAGCGGGCTGAGCAGGGACCTCCAGAGCGGATCTGCCCAAACTGAGGGCAGGTTTTGCTGTCCTTCCCTTGAGCACCGCTCGGCTCTGAATAGCCAGTGTGTTTCAGCGGGGTCGGGAGGACCAGCAGCCCTGGAAACACTCAGACGTATCGCTGCACTTCTCGTAGCCGTCTCTGGGAAAGCTTTCTGCTTGGACTTCAACACTTCGGCGTCTGCACTTGTGAACATTGCGGGTCTGCCTCCACTGGCACAGGGACTACGAGGAGACCCTGACCGGTTAACTTGCATTGCGTAAAATAGGACAGGCAACCTAGACAGATGTAGCTGTCACAGCCGCACGGTATTACTGGGGACGCAGGTACGGTGTGAACAATGTTACGAACCATTTGTATTTTCAATCCTCTGTTCCGAAAATTAAGCTTGTAAAAAAAAAAAAAAAAAAAAAAGGTCAGAGCAGCATTTATTTAGGAGCCTAAATGTGGCCCCTGTATTTGAAAGTGCCTTATTTTTTAACATGGCAGTGGCCTTTTAGGAGATGGACACGCAGGGTCCTGGGGTAGGAAGCTTCTAGCTAAGGTAGGATGAGTATATTCGCAAGTGATTTGCATTTGACAGGAAGCCAAAAATGATATGCTTGAGGACCTCAAGATCTTCCTAAACTTTGTCATTGTCAGGGGATGCTGCTTTTTGACAGGACATAGGGCCAGGTTTATACATAGTTGGTCATATAAAGCAGATCTTGCAGAGAGAGACCTGTGCACATGCTCAGCTTTGCACCCTGTGAGCAGTGACCTCAGACTTCAGTATGACTACCCACAGGGCAGAGAATTAAATACAAGCTTAAATCTGTGCAGGATTACAGCTTAAAATAGTCCCTCCCTCATTCCCCTGGTTTTTCATTACACTAAAGTGCACATTTATTTCTGTAGCAAAGTCCACGCTATCAGAGTACAATCTGAACATGCACGCGCCTCTGAGCAAAACAGTGCCACAAAGCATCAGGTGCTGGTGGTCACCGCTGTAGGCAGTATGGCAAACCTTCTGCAATTATTAATTTCGTGAGCTGCCTAACTGAGCTGCAAATTACATTTAGGAGGGCAGGAGAACTGTATTAATTAAAGTAATCATAAATTACATTCCCTGCAATAAAATACTTTAAAAATCAATACCTTCCAGATAGCCTGGGATTAAAATAGATGAACTTTCCCTTAAAAGCAGGCAAGCAATTTAGTAGACAGCTGGGAGCGTCTGTGCTTAATGGTGGGTGGGAATTGAATCTCCTGACCCTGCCTTCTCCACCACTTTCTTCATTACCAGGCAGGTCATGACTCCAGATATTAATGCACCAGAACCAAACACCATGTGGGGGGCGGGACGGAAAAAAAAATTGGTCCCTTTGTATTGCCAAATAAGGACAATGAACACCCTATGTGCAGTTAAGGAGGTGTCCAATTTTATGGCACGAGTTTGAATTTAATAACACGCTGATTTGCATTATACACAACAGGCAGTCAAACCCCGTGGGGAGGGAAGGAATAAATGTATGCAGTCAGGAGGCACCGTAAAGACGGCCCATCGAAAGAACCAAGTCTTTTTGCGGCTGGTCAGTGTAGCTGGAGGAAAGTTAAAGAGTCAGATTTGCAGAAGCCCAGTTTGGGAGGGGAAAAAGGGAGAAACTTGGCCGAGCTCCCAGTTCACAGAGGGAAGGGTAACTGCAAATGTAATCCTATCCCAGTGCCAGCGTGGGATTCATGGAGTCCATTTCTTCTTCCCCCCCCCACTTTTTGCCAGTTGAAAAAGCTATGTCAGAGTGCAAATCCTTGGCGCTTGGCTTGGGCTGCAGGTGTTGCAGGCACTTGCCCTGCCAGCCCATCTATCCAAGCACAAGCTGTCACTGAGCCAAGCAGGGCAGCCGTCTCACACAGAGCTCAGGTCTGGACATGCTTTAACCCGTTTTCACATTGCCCTCCAAGAAAGCCAGTTCAGCACTTGCACGTGGTCACGTCCCAGTTCACTGGGTGAGAAGCCCTTCATATCCCAGTTGCTTGTTTTCCATCAGAGCTGATGGTCGTCAGCAGCTCTAACGCCCCTCTGCACTGGAATTCAGTCTGGTCATTTGACTCTTCGGTGCACAGTGTTTTCAAGGCAGGATCGTCTCAGCTGACTTTCATTCTTCATAAGAGCAAGTGATGTGGTACAGACATAGGACTCTAGAGCTTGGATTGCATGGACCGAGCGCTGGACCAGAGCTGGTCCTATCTCGGTCACTCTCTAGGCCTGTGTTAGGAACTCATGGGTGCTGTACCATGCTGCCCGGCCCCTCATGGGAGGCTGTCAAAGCACACGGCAAAGTCTTTGGTGCCACTGCAAGCAAAACTCCTGTGACAGCATTGGAACAAGAGTCTGACCACGATCCCAAGTACCGGCCTTTGTGAGACACGCAAGCATCCTCTCCATTGAGCAGGAAAATCAACTTAAGCATAGGAAAGCAATCTGGTTTGCACGGGGCCACGCAGTCAGGCAGGGACTGGAGCAGAGGAGCCCCCATTTCTAGCTCCCCTGCTCAGAGCACCAAACAGCAGCATTATAATTTAGAGCATATGATTTCTCAGCACTCTTGGACTGTAAGCTCCCGGGGACAAGGGCTGTTTCCTTGTGACACTATCATATAAAACGGGATGCAGGCAGGAGGCTCGGACACTGCAGCGAGACACAAAAGCAAACGGGCTGTGGTTCAGCTGAAGTGACTTTACCACTAGGCTGCATTTGGGTTTTATGGAAGCACAGTTCAGGTTAAAGTCTACCCCAAACTTCCTGCCTCCTATTTGGCTGGCTGTCAGTAGCATCTCGAGCTGAATAGTAAAACCAAACACAAAACCTGTTGAGCTAATTTCCTGCTCATAAAGTCAGCTGGGATATTGAAAACCCTGGGAAAAAATGCTATTCATGCTATGTGAAAAAAAAGAGAGAGAGAGCAAACAAATGAGGATCAGGAAGCCAAACGTGGTATCTTTCCAATTTCCTGCCCATAAATTCAAGGGCAATGCTAGGGAACTGCAGCAGGACAAGGGAAATGCAGGGCTCTGGAGGAATATTTATGGCATGGCCTTGCAAGTGGCTTAGCTAAGTGCAGCTTGCACAGATTTTTATGCCTGAAGGTCTTGCTGTGGCATGAATGGGAAAATGCTGCCAGCCTCCACTTCAGCCCTGTTTCAAACAAGCAAGCAAAATATTGTCTTCAGGCTCTGAAGTCAGTGCATTCACCTGCCTGTAAGACCTGGTCAGAGGGAGCTGGAAGCCCTTGTGCAAAGCCCTGAGAGATGCTGTGCAAAGTTGGGACCTTTATCCCATGAAAAAGGGTTGCCCGTCATGACTCTTCATTCTGCAAAACCCCAAAGAAAGCCCATTCCACTGGACCCACTGAGAGTCATAGATCTTGCTTAGCTAGGTCCGACCCAAGTCTAGCAGCTCGCCCTGTGTGGGAGTGGGGTTATGGAAATGCTTTCTTAATACTGGGTTTGATTTGCCCTTCTTGATGACTGGGGAGGTCCTTGGCACTTGGGCAAAATGAAGGAAAAATGTTCCCAAATCAGCAGCACCCTTTGCATGAAGAAAGTGCAGGACAGTGAGTGGGCCCGATTCTCCTCGTAACAAAATGCCAATGAAGAGTAGTTTACCTGAAGTCCATCGTTACCCCGGTGTACCTGGGACCAGACATGGGGTTGTAATGCGGATTAAAAACTAGCAACAGTCTAAACCTTGTTTGCGGCATTGTGATTCTTCTTAGGGAACCCAGCATCTCTTGCAGTGTTTTGTTCAAGATACAGTGTTTGACCACGTCATCTGCTTTTAAACAAGAAAATATTGCTTAGAATTGAAACCTCCTGTACTCCATTTATACAGCGTCCAGGTCTGGTGCTTGGGGCAGCCTCTGGTTTAACAGCTCGCGTTACGGCCGACAGTCTAGCGCGCCTTGCTTTGAACATCTCAGGAATCGGGCCCTTGTCGCGAGTGACAAAATACAGCCGCTTTATTTTTACACCCTCTTTCTTGCTGAGTCCTGTTCTGGTAACTGGGGGTTGTACTGGCAAAATGCCCCAATACTGTTTTCCTGAAGAGGGAGAGGCTGTCTGGGTGAGCTGCCAGTGAAGTTTTGGGTGAGGTCGGTTAGCCCCTATGACAATCCCATGGGTTTGTTACCTGTCTGCGTCTGCAGACTTCACAGGTAGACAAGTTCGTGGTCAGTCCAGAACAGAAATGTAAAGATCCGGGAGTGGGGTTCCCCAAGGGCCTGTCGTCGTCAGAGAGCAAGCACTGTGCTCTTTTAGTTATCGCTGTTTGTTATAAACTGTGCTCTGCCCCGTGCAGCATAGTACAACGCACAAGTTAGGATGGCAGAGAAGGAAACAGCAGGACAGGCAGAGGGGGTCAGGTCTGGCTGCTGTTTAGGTGCAGAAAGGATGGTTCAGGTGTTAGCTTGGGATTTGGGTGACCCATGCTCTACCACTGACTCCTTTTGTGGCCTTGGGCAAGTCACCCAGCTTCTCTGTGCCTCGGTTCCCCACCTGTAAAAGGCAACATTTCCCTGCTCACTAGGGTAGGGCCAACACACTGACAACTGTGCTCGGAGGCTGGGGAATTTCTGGGCATCGAAACCCTGCAGGCTGGTGGGGCAGGAGGAAGGGAGCTGTCTGATGGGCACCCCCTGAAAAGACTTCCCCCTCTTTTTCAACCGACCCTTTATCTGGGGGCAGCTCTCCTTGCCCACACTCTGCTGACCACACTTCCTCCCACATTGCCTGTGTCCCAGCACTCCTCGACTCCCCGCTGAGGACCTGCCTGCCTGCCGGGCCAGACGACTTGGCAGAGGAAAACAGAAATAGGCACTGCCAGGCAAGCAAATGAGAAGCGTTGAGTCACTTGGAAAAGCGCATCTCGAAAGACTATATCTGCCCAGAACACGTCTTCATATCCCCAGGTTGTCTCAGGAGCAGCAATGCACTGAGGCAGGGGAGAGACCTGCTGTTTGGAACAGGAGAGAACGAAGAATGGTTGAGATTCAGGAAGAAAGCCAAACCTCTTAAGTCCTGGAAAGATCATTTGCAGATTAGCAGCATAGTGTCAGCCTTAAAATACCTTTGACTCCTGGCTTTGGAAGGTAAAAGCCTTGGTGGATTGGCCCGGGCTGAGGTGAGATTAGACCTTCTGGCTGACTTTGCTGGCGGCCCGGGAGAAGCTCTGTGCCGCGCGGAGCTTCCCTGGCGGGCATCAAAACTGGCCCAGCTGGCTGCATATCCCCGCGCGCAGGAGCACCCTGGGACGGAGGAGGGCACAGCTGGCCTGCTCTGCACCCTGGCA